ACACACAGCTGGGTTGTTCAGGACACCTTGAACTAGAAAGTCCCTTTGATTCGTAATAAAACACACACTGTGCACCTGCACTGATAAATATGGTGACTTTAGTCCATCCTTCCTCGCAAATGTTTGATCCTTTCAATCGTTTAATCATGTTCCCACATAAAAAAGATTAATTATTCCTCAGCGTTAGGGTTAAACTTTAGTAGTGGGATTGTTTGTTATAAGACCTTTGATCATATGTATCTTTTTCCACTTAAAATGTATTTATATTTTTGGAGTTTTTTATTTATATTATATATAATGCATTTTTATTTGTATTTTTTAATAATTTATTTATTATTATTAACTTTTTTTAACATTGCACAGTGTGTATGTAATATTTTTATATGGTATTGTTCAAAAGTTTTGGTTTGGTAAGATTAAGAACTTGTGATTTTATTTATATACTTTTATTTATTTAGACAATTTTTAATGGACTATTTGAGTATTGAGTATCATACAATTATATTTATAATGCATTTAAAATCTTGTGCAAATAAAATGTAAAAAAAATAATAAAACGTAGGGGATAGGTAAGATTGAGTGGTATTCTATGTGTATTTGTTTAGAATTTTTTTTGAAAATTAAGTATTATAAAATTGTGTTTGTATATATACATAATTTTAATAATACTCTGTCTAAATAAATAAATAAAATTATAAATTATACATATATAACTATTACAAAAAGGCCAAATTTAGCAAAAATTATAATAATAATAAAAAAGGGCATTTACATGAAGTAAGCATTATAAGACATTCAAAAACTCAAATAGCTAGTTCTGGCACAAAACCACTGACACATTTTAATTGCTCCAAATGATCTAGATCATTCCAGAGATCAAAGGAAACAATAATGTAGTCCTCAATATGTAATAATGTAGTAACTCTTTAACATCAGAAATGTAAAACTCATTCCTGAACATTTATCTGATAGCTTTATTCTCCCTTGATATGGGCTTAATTTATGTATTTTTGGTTTTAGAAAAGGGAAAAAATGTGAGTCTGGATTGGGTTTTACTCTGAATCCCCTCTAGAGTGAGCTCAGGAAATTGGCATCATTATAGAAAGTGCTATTGAAGCTGGAGACGTTTAGTCCTCGTGTGATCCACTCAGAGATTAAAGCAATAGTCCGGCTTACATCTTCAGCTCTCTGAACAAAATCTGTGGCTGTAGCATTCATCTTAAAAAAAACAAAAACCATGAGTACAGTAAGGTGTACAGCTGGAGGTAATGCTTACTTTTACCGACGTAATGCCAGAGGTCGAAGTCAGACAGGTGATTATATAAGCAGTAGCTTTTAATGCTAGTCTCTCCATATGTGTCATGCCCAAGTCATGTCAAGTAGGTCAGGAACCTCCTGGTGGCTATTTGGCAGATTGTGCTTAAAAATCGAACAAATCCAGATCCCAAATCTACAGAGCCCATAAGGGGACATGAGACAGGATGAAAAATTATATTTCAATGCTTTTGCGTTGTCTCGCAAAACTTTTGCACTCCTCCAAGAAACTGTTCACTCACAAAACTGTTAAATTCAGTGCTTTTGTGAGAGAATGCAAAGTTTCTTGGGGGGACACAATACTTTTTTACGAGATAATGCAAACGTTTTATGTGAGAACGCAAAATTTCTTGGGGGAACCCAAAACTTTAGCAAGATAATTCATATGTTTTCAGAGAGAATGCAAAGTTTCTTGGAGGAATGCAATACTTTTGCAAGATAATGCACATTTTGCAAAAGAATGCAAAGTTTCTCGGGGGGACACCATAGTTTTGAGAGCGTGCAAATGTTTTGTGAGTGAACGTAGAGTTTCTCGGGAATGCAATACTTTGCAAGGTAATGCAAATGTTTTGCAAGATAATGTGAAGTTTCCCAGGGGAATGCAATACTTTTGCGAAAGAATAAAAATGATTTACAAATGAATGCGAACATTCTTGGAAGAGCGCAGTACTTTTGCGAGAGAATGCAAAGTTGCTCAGGAAATGCAAAATTTTTGCAAGATAATACACGTTTTGTGAGAATACACAAAGTATCTTGGGAACTCAGTAGTTTTGCAAGATAAAGCAAATATTTTGCAAGAGAATATTAAGTTAATACTTTCGCGAAAGAATTAAAATGTTTTGCGAGCGAACGCAAAGTTTCTCAATACTTTTCTGATCAATACTTTTGCGAAAGAACGAAAATGTTTTGCGAGCGAACGCAAAGTTTCTCAATACTTTTGCGAAAGAATGAAAATGTTTTGCGAGCAAACGCAAAGTTTCTCAATACTTTTGCGAAAGAACGAAAATGTTTTGCGAGCGAACGCAAAGTTTCTCAATACTTTTGCGAAAGAATGAAAATGTTTTGCGAGCAAACGCAAAGTTTCTCAATACTTTTGAGAAAGAATGAAAATGTTTTGCGAGCGAACTTAAAGTTTCTCAATACTTTTGCGAAAGAATGAAAATGTTTTGCGAGCGAACATAAAGTTTCTCAATACTTTTGTGAAAGAATGAAAATGTTTTGCGAGTGAACGCAAAGTTTCTCAATACTTTTTTGCGAAAGAATGAAAATGCTTTGCAATTTGAATGAAAATGCAAAACATTTTCTCAAGGGAATGCAATAATTTTGCGATAGTTTCTTTTACAAGTTTCTTGTAGGAATGCAGTACTTATTTTTTCTATCACCATGTTCCTTCAGGGTCTCTGTACAAATCTACATCCGGTGTATATATAATTATGAATCAGAGGGAGAACATTTAATCAAATAAGGCCATATTGTGATTGTGACCAGATTTCAGATTTTCATCTCATCATTTAGTACAGAATCACAATCAAATCATTGTAAAAGCAAACATGTACACTTCTAATTATACATATCTTGTTAAATTTGTTTCATTTTATTATCTATTACTTTGGAAAGATGTATATAGCAGGGTTTGTGGGTCAAAGTTGCATGAGATTTTAGTGCAGCCTGTTGCTGTGTGGACTTGGCCTCCTCTGTGTGTGTGTGTGTGTGTGTGTGTGTGTGTGTGTGGGTGTGTGTGTGTGTTTTAGAGGTGACCTGTGCAGGAAAGAGGGGGAAGGGAGGAGGACCTATTTACATTGGCAGCTCTACAAGGGGAAATGAGCAGACTTCAAAGCACCAGCAGAGAGGAATTGTAAATCAAGTGCGCACAGTTTAGCAGGACGATGCACATTGATCTTGGCTGCACTGTGTTCACTGACCTGGGCAGCAGCAGTTATGTGTCAACCTGTGGAAGATGATATTGTCATATTATAATGTAGTGTTGGGAAGATAAAACATCTGCCCTTTTAGATGCTGCTTCTCTGCCAGTGTAAATGTTGCTTAGATTTACAGCGTTTCTTTGAACATTGTTTGATGCAAAGTATATGGAAAACATTTACCTAAACAAGTAATTATCACAGGAATATCATCCTGGTAAAGCTTGAGAGAGTGTGTGTAACTGGAATTTGCCCCTCATGTTTCATGTCCAGGCATGTTGCAGAAAAGACCCTCCATCGAGGACTTTGTCAACGCCCTCGTGTCTGATCTGGACCCTGACTTTGAAACCTTCATCATGGACTCGGAGGGCTGAAGGATTTTTTATAGCAGTATAACTTTATCTTCCTCACGGTAATCAGTCTTTACAACTGGCTGAACGATCAGTATTCATGTTCAGAGAAAGAAATTAATTTATGAACCAAAACTGAACGGTCTCACAACAGTGCTTTGTGGGATATATGCTAGTAAATAATATATATTTTTTTAAACTTGTTCAGGTCATGTTTCACATCAGAACTCCAAAATATAATGTATATGTGTTCTAATATACAGAAATACAATGTATATGTGTTCTATTTGTTTGCTTTTCGACACCCAAAATCATTGCAAAAAATATATTATATATACAGGTATATTATCATAAATGCATAATGAAGGTATTTATACATCATACAATATTGTTGGTACTACATGTAAATATCACTAAATGTAGTTATTTAATTATTAAACTGAATGGTTAAATAAAATAATGTTTAATAATTTAATAAACTCTTGGTATATTATTGTACTTGTTTTTACTATAATACCAAAAATATACTATAATACAAAATAAAAGTAATATTTTTACAGAATTTTTTTTTTGGGGGGGGGTATGTATGTATAAATGTCCATTTATAATTTTTATAATTATTAAATAAATTATATACAAAAAATTATATAATTATATATATAAATATATATATATAAAAAAAATTTTTATAGATGTAATATTATGTTTATATGTGGTATAACAGTGGGTTAATATTGTTGGATAGTAATTAAACATTATATTGTATGTCCTCAAATAAGGTTGATATAAATTTACTCAGGTCTCCTATATCTAAAAATACAGTGCTTTGTATATTACAGTTTGTATAATTTTCAGATGATTGTTATAATGGCATTATATTTGTGCATTGACTTAATATTTTCATTAAATACTCCAGCAAAGCTTATAAAGTTTTATTTACAAATTTGATGAACAACACAAATCATAAGGTTTGTATGAGTTCACCATACATCATTACAAAAAGCAAGAGTGAAGGCACAAGATGAGTATCTACATTATAAAAAATATTGTCCTTCTATTTCCTATCATACAGTATATACAATTCAACACACTGGAGCTCACACACACACACACACGCAGCGCAGTTTGATCTATGGAACTGGAATGTACTGCAAAGAGCAATGCAAACCATTCAGGTCGACTGCAACCAATACCTGCAGCTGAACCTTAACTTCAACCCACCTCAACAGGTAGTCAGTGCTGGGGTACAGAACTATCTAGTGCTTTCCTTACAAAAGACAGCAATCTTTTGTCTTGTGTGGTTTTGTTTACACATTAATAAAGTCTCTTTAGGCTGCTGTTAGTGAGTGTCACACACGGCTGGAGAATGACGGCAAAACACACGTTTTTAGTGTGTGTGGCCTGATGTAATCTGAGGTGGGATCTTCCTTTGCTCATTCTACCTCCAGAGTGGCTCTCAAAGACCAACAACAGCTGAGATAAGAGCAGGTCATCCTGGAGCGAGACAAAAAGAGCGCAAGAACAAACTTGTTAATCGCTTGGCACTGAATCAGTCAAAGTAAATTAAAACATATCTCATGAAGCCTCTTCATTTATGAGAATTAGCACAGGCACGGTGAGGTTTGGCTTGGTCTCTTAAAGGGACAGTTCACTTTTTTTTTTACAATGGAAGTGAATGGGGACTGGAACTTTCAAGCTCCAAAAATGACAAAAAGCACCACAAACGTAGAGCATATGTCTTGTGTGTTATATTTCAAGTCTTCTGAAGCTATATAATAGAAAAAGCCATATTGATTGAGTTTTAGTTATTTGCGGAGAGAATAGTGTACGTTCAGATATTGTCTCAAAATATGCTGTGCCAGAAATTCTGTCAAAATGAATCAAAGCTTTGGAATATATTGTACATGTCATATGTAAAAAAAAAAATAGAGGCCAAAAATTAAGAATTCATTCCGATTATGTATTTATTCGTTTCCTTGATTAAAGGTAGAGTTCACCCAAAAATACACATTTTGTCATCATTTACTCACACCCATGTGCATTTCTTCTGTGGACCATAAAAAAATATATTTTGAAGAATTTTGGTATCCAAACAGTTGCTGGTAGCCAAAAATACAGTGGAAGTCAATGGAAACCACAAACTGTTTGGTTATTAACATTCAAGATATGGTTGTGCTCATCAGAAGAAAGTAAGCTCCTTCCCACATTTTACAATTTAACTAAATTAAAAATAAATAATGTTAAAAATAATACAATTTGGCCATCATTTACCTTAAACTAGTGAATAAATGAATCAAAAGTGTTCTTGAATGAAAAAACTGAATAAAACATGGCCACGGATGGAAAAAGTCATGTGGAAATGAATTCTTAAAGGGAGAGTTCACCCAAAAATGAAAACTCGAAATACACAATTTAAGTGATACTCTCATGAACGCGAGTTGAAGACTGACACGGAAGAGAAGAAATGGTTGAATAAAGCCATTATTTTGTTTTCTCTATGCACAAAAAGTATTCTCGTAGCTTCATAAATCTAAGGCTGAACCACTGATGTCACATGGACTATTTTAATAATAGGCCCTTTCGCACCGCTTTAGTTCCAGAACTAAACGTACGGTACTAAAGTACTGGGACGATTCTGTGCAAACTATTTTCCAGTACCATTTAAAGGGTTGCATTCGCACCGACAGTGTGTACTAGGAAGTGACGTAAGCCGGTCGACAGCAATGTCATATGTGCGCGGCGTTCAAAAACAGAAACAAAGAACAATGTTAACAACAGGAGGATGGAGGACGCTGTGATCGGAGCTGTGTTTTGTTGTGTCTCGCGGGTTTCACAGTGGACATGGAAAGTCGACGTATACGTAAAGCGACTGAAAGAACGGAAAGGAGGACTAAGAATCTCCAACGACAACTGGCAGTGCTACATTTGCTACAAGTGCCTGCACTTCAGCGTCCGTCCATTTATCGCTGTTCTCCATACTTGCGAAATAAGTTGACATGCTTACAGTATGTTTACACAGAGTTTTAAATCATGGCGGGTGAGGGCGTTTTGATACGTGTTTGGCCAATCAATGTCTACTTGCGTCACGATTAGTACCAGTTGTGCTGGTTAGACCCTGCTAGGAGTAGGAGCTAATTTGGTTCTCGAAAAAGGCAGTCCGGTACTAAAATCGCTCCCAGTTCCGGCGGTGAGAACATGCCGAAAAGTGGGTAGTTCCACAATTAGTTCTAGTACTATGAAAATGTTCCTGCGAAGCGAAAGGCCCTAATGTCCTGACAACCTTTCTGGGCCTTAAACGTGTCAGTTGCGTTGCTGTCTATGCAGGGTCAGAAAGCTCTCGGATATCATCAAAAATATCTTAATTTTGAAAAAAAAGTAATGTATATTTGGAACAACTTGATTTTTTAATACTATTGTACACTCTAAAAAATGCTGGGTTGTTTCAACCCAATGTTGGGTCAAATATGGACTAACCCAACTGTTGGGTTAAATTTTGGTTACATTTTTAAATTAGCTTTTTTAACCCAACAGTTGGGTTAGTCCATATTTGACCCAACATTGGGTTGAAACAACCCAGCATTTTTTAGAGTGTAAGCTTCCTTTTTAGTTTATAATATCACATGTCAAGGTTAAATACTTGAAACAAAAACAGAAATCTATGTAATTATATAATCCCAAACATCTTGATTCATCGTGTTTAAAGCTCACTACTATCCGGTGACATTTTGAAGGCTAACAAAGTAGGGAACGCATGACTTCACGTGTTTCACACCAGCACGCTGTTTGACAAAGGGCCCTTTTATGTGTTTCAAAAAGAATTGAATAAGTTGTTCCTTTCATGTTCGGCTTTTCACCATAAGGCTTTTGTTTCCTGTGATCGCATGTTTACACACACCACCCTCGGCTCTTGATGGCATCGACAGTTTGTCAGTTGCTCATTTGCTTTGGCTCTCGTAAACGAACACAGAAGTGGAGTGTTTCAACATCTCAGCTTCCATTCGACTCACATCTTGAATTCTTTGTAAATTATATTGCGAAATTTTGATTGATTGTTAATATAATTCAGCTTACAAGGCATATTAATGATAAATCCCTCAATTCAAGACTTCACAATAAGTAACACATCACAATAACATTAAACATGTTTACATTAGTTAATGCATTAGGTAAAATTACTTAACAATGAACTATACTTTTAGAGCACTTAATTAATATTAACCGAGAAAAATACGTTTGTGGTCGGTTAGCTTTTTTTAATTTTTTTGAAAGAAGTATCTTATGCTCACCAAGGCTGCATTTATTTGATTAAAAATAGAGTAACAACTGTATATTGTGAAATATTATTACAATTTAAAATAACTGATTTGTATTTGAGTATATTTTCAAATGTAATTTATTGCTGTGATGCAAAGATGATTTTTTTCAGCATCATTATTCCAGTCTTCAGTGTCACATGATCCTTCAGAAACAAAAAAAAAAAACATTTCTTATTATATCAATGTTTAAAACAGTTATGCCGTTCTATATTTTTGTAAGTACAATTTTATAATTTACATGCATTTTGTGTACCGTTAATGTAACAAAATACGGTAACACTTTATTTTAGGGTCTCTTAACTAGTTGCTTATTAGCATGCATATTACTAGAATATTAGCCATTTATTAGTACTAATTAAGTACATATTAATGCCTTATTCTACATCCCTAATCCTAGCCAATACCTAAACTTAACAACTACCTTACTAACTATTAATACGCAGCAAATACATTTATTGAGGGAAAAGTTGTAGTTTTAAAGGTCCCCTGAAATGCTTAGAAACACGCAGCGTTAGCGTAGCGGATTTGACCAATCCTCTGTGTTGACATCATTTTAACTGAAACTGGAAGACAGGGCGGGACATATCAAGCAGCCAATAGCGTTCGTTTATATCACAGCTTGGGCTAGAGCCGTTTTGGCGGAAGTGACGAATTGCAAGCTTTGAATGCTTATATCTTCTAAATGCGAATTTTGTCACTGTTTTGGAGCACTCTGCCTTTTTGATAACCTTAAGACTAACATATTGATACTAACACCCAAAAAACTTTCATTTTGATTTCATGGGGACTTTAATAGTGAATAAGTGTTCCCTATTCTAAAGTGTTACCCAAAATACAACTCATTGACATTTAGTAAATTGATTTATGGCACAAAACTACATTTCTCATCAATTTCTGTGGCAGCATGAGAATAGTATAGACTCTTAAACTGGACGTCCCCAGGAGGACACAGAGTTTGTCCCTGTAATGAGTTTTCTGTCAATCACTTTGGACTGATTAGATCCTGTAGCTTCACTCACCTTCAGTTGCAGACAGCTGTGGCTGTAGAAGCCGACTGTTTGACCCATCCTCAGGCTCAGCTGGGGTCAGGCCTGAGCTCTGCACGTCTCGTTCCTCGTCCTCGTCACACGAGGAGCATCTCTGTGTGGACTCGGAGGGATCGTCTGAGGTTGTGAAGGTCTGAACGAGCGGCCAGGCCTCATCAGCTGCACATCCCACATCTGCCTGGCTGCTGCCCAGTGATGGATTCACCAATCTGGTGGGACAAAAAACATACTGTCAAATTTCATGGAGCTCAATGGAGGAGTTGAGCTGAAGTTAAACTGGTTTTGATGGCATCTTAAAGACACAACGCTCATTAAATCAAAAATAATGCAGACAGAATACAAAGAATGTGTCCTTTTATTTTCTGAATACACACAATACCCACATTACTTTAAAAAAGAACAATACCACTCAGGATAAAATAAAATAATAAAAAAGTGTTTATACTCTAGAATAGAGAGTCTTAGTCAAAGGAAATTGAGAATAAAAGTCAATTAACGTTACTTTCTAAAAAAAAAAAGGTAGCACAACACTTTATTAGAAATTACATATTAATGTCATACTGCTTTTTTTTTAATATTGGTCACCAATAATTGTATTAATAAACTGACACTAAATAAGATGTGTACAGTACCATTTAAAAGTTAGTGGTCAGTAAGAGTTAAGAAATTGGGGTCAGTAAAAATAATAATAATAATTATTATTATTATTGGATATATTTAAATAGCTCAAAAGTGACAGTGAAGACAAATGTCTACGAAATAAAATCGATTTCAAATAAATGATGATCTTTTGAATTGTCTATTCATTATACAATCAAAATCATTTCAAAACTATCATACACATTTTAAACCGTTTTCAACATTGATAATAATAGGAAATGTTTCTTGAGCAGCAAATCAGAATATTAGGATGATTTCTGAAGGATCATGTGACATGATGCTGAAAATTCAGCTTTGCATCACAGTAATAAATTGCATTTTAAAGTATATTAAAATAGAACACTCTTACAGTTACTGTACTTTAAACTGTAATACTATTTCACAATATTATTGTTAAAAATAGACAGAATTTTGTCAGCAGTTGTAAAGGAATCTGTTGAATTTGATCTAATCGTCCAGATCTGCCATGCAGACTAAAGTGGCACAGATCCAAACCTGATCCTTTAACCTCATTTGAATGTGAATGTGTCTGGCTGAAGGACCCACCCTTCATTGAGACTGTTCTGAGAGTGATAGGGACGAGTCTCTCGGCCGCGGCTCTGGCTCCAGGAGTCATCGCAGCACAGAGACGGGATCAGGTGCACAGGACCTGGAAAACAAAGCGCACATGAATCTAATGTCATGACAATAAACATTCCTGTGACTCTCCAGAACTGTGTGACTAATAGAATGCTCATCTGACAGATAATTACTGGCTAATTGACATGTTTGGACTCGTCCAGAGAAAACACACAACTGCTCATCACACTCTAACAGTTCAGCAGTGTGTTAGTAAGACTTCTGAAAGGTGTGTGAAACGCACCGCAGGTCTGTCCGGAGCCGTGACGGCAGTGACAACAAGGCCGCTGGGAAAACTCCAGAGCTCTCCGATCCAGACAGGACAGCTCGGACCCCACATAAGGACCCTCATGGGACCTCACTGAAACTGAGACATCGATATGCGGAACAACAGAAAAAAACAGTGAAGTTTCATTACTGCCTGATTAGACAGAGATTCAGAAGCATAATAATGAACTACTTTTTTCAAAACCATGTTAAAATCATGGTAAAAACCCTGTACTGCATGACATCAGATGGCTTAATGTTTTGTTTTGTTTTTTAAAACAATGTATAATAAATTATTGATATAAATATGTTATTATATAAATTATGCTGCTGTTCAAATGTTTAGTGTTTAGGTTAGTATGTTTTGTTTTCAAAGAAACAAAAAATACTTTTATACAGCCAGGACACATTAAATTGATCAAAAACGACAGAAAAGATTTTAACATTGTTTCAAAAGTTCAAATAAATGTTGTTTTATTCATTAAATAAATTCTGCTTAGCACAGGAACTTTAAAATATATTAAAATATAAAACATGGTAAAATCATGGTAAAAAACCCTGTACTGCGTGACATCGGGAGACTTAATGTTTTTAAAGAAAAATAGCAGCAACAATAACATAATAAAATACAACAATGTATAATAAATTATTGATATAAATATGTTAGTATATAAATGATGCTGCTGTTCAAATGTTTAGTGCTTAGGTTAGTACGTTTTGTTTTGTTTTGTTTTGTTTTGTTTTGTTTTGTTTTGTTTTGTTTTGTTTTGTGTTGTTTTGTTTTATTTAGTTTTGTTGTTGTTGTTTTGTGTTGTTTTGTTTTATTTTATTTTGTTTTGTTTTGTTGTTTTGTTGTTGTTGTTGTTTTCAAAGAAACTCAAAATATTTTTATTCAGCCAGGTTTGTTTTATTTTATTTTGTGTTGTTTTGTTTTATTTAGTTTTGTTGTTGTTGTTTTGTGTTGTTTTGTTTTATTTTATTTTGTTTTGTTTTGTTTTGTTGTTTTGTTGTTGTTGTTGTTTTCAAAGAAACTCAAAATATTTTTATTCAGCCAGGACACATTCAATTGATCAAAATGAAAAATAACATTGTTTCAAAAGATTTCTAGTTCAAATAAATGTTGTTTTATTCATTAAATAAATTCTGCTTAGCACAGGAACTTTAAAATATATTCAAATATAAAACATGGTAAAATCATGGTAAAAACCCTGTACTGCGTGACATCGGGAGACTTAATGTTTTTAAAGAAAAATAGCAGCAACAATAACATAATAAAATACAACAATGTATAATAAATTATTGATATAAATATGTTAGTATATAAATGATGCTGCTGTTCAAATGTTTAGTGCTTAGGTTAGTACGTTTTGTTTTGTTTTGTTTTGTTTTGTTTTGTGTTGTTTTGTGTTGTTTTGTGTTGTTTTGTTTTGTGTTGTTTTGTTTTATTTTGTTTTGTTGTTGTTGTTGTTGTTTTGTGTTGTTTTGTTTTGTTTTATTTTATTTTATTTTATTTTATTTTATTTTATTTTATTTTATTTTATTTTATTTTATTTTATTTTGTTTTATTTTATTTTATTTTATTTTATTTTGTTTTGTTTTGTTTTGTTTTGTTTTATTTTGTTTTGTTGTTTTGTTTTGTTGTTGTTGTTGTTTTCAAAGAAACTCAAAATACTTTTATTCAGCCAGGACACATTCAATTGATCAAAATGAAAAATAACATTGTTTCAAAAGATTTCTAGTTCAAATAAATGTTGTTTTATTCATTAAAGAAATTCTGCTTTGCACAGGAATTTTAAAATATATTCAAATTAAAAACATGGTAAAATCATGGTAAAAACCCTGTACTGCGTGACATCGGGAGACTTAATGTTTTTAAAGAAAAATAGCAGCAACAGTAACATAATAAAAGACAACAATGTATAATAAAGCACTGATATAAATATAGTATTATATAAATTCTGCTGATGTTCAAATGTTTAGGGTTAGTACGTTTTGTTTTGTTTTGTTTCGTGGTCCCCCCCTCTTTTTTTTCAAAGAAACAATAAAAATACTTTTATTTAGCCAGGACACATTAAACTGATAAAAAATGACAGTAAAAAAATGTAACATTGTTTCAGAAGATTTCTAGTTCAAATAAATGTTATTTTATTCATTAAAGAGATTCTGCTTTACACAGGAATACATTTTAAAATATATACAAATAAAAAACTGTTATAATACAATATTACTGTTTTTACTGCAATTTTGATCAAATAAATGCAGTCTTTATAAGTATTTGACTTCTTTCAAAAACATTAAACTCTCACTTTTGACTGGTAGTGTAAATATTAATAGTATTAATCTAAACTATAATAAACTATCCAAGAAATATTGTCAATTCGCTTAACTCTAATCTGCTTACAACAAATTTTAACATTAGATCTATCAGTATCATTACATAGCCAACTGATGTTTGATACATGGTAAAATTGTGAGAAGCAGGAAAATAAAAATACAATCTTTCAAAATTGACTATGCTAATCACAGTTTACACTAAAATGTAATAACAGTAGTACCACTGCCATCAAATAAATACATAAACAAAATGATAGAAAGAATTTTATGGCTTTTTACACTGCTTAAAGAAGCTCCCACATACATTTTGAATGATTTTACAGATATTCAAAGAACTTAAGTATTTATGGATGCTATTTTGGCAGGCTTTGTAACTATAAAAACCATGGTACTGTAAATATTTGTAAAGAGTGATTAGAAATACTTTTATTTAATAGCACTAATTACAGTTATTCCACGAGCTTTCTAATCATAAACCGTGTCTCTTGGAAGGAGTGATCGTGATCAGAGGAAGGAGCAGATGGCGTGATTCACCTGGTTTCTTCTCCAGAAGCTGTCTCTTACAGTAGATGACACACAGGATGAAGAGGGCGAGCAGGACGGTGGCCAGCGCACTGCAGATGACCGCAGCTAGAGCCATGTCTCTGGGGCTGGTCACCGCAGGCTGGACCGGGACAAAATTCACTCGCCCCATACCTGACAGATACACAGCAGAGAGAGGAAGTGAGGTCACCGAGTTCAGATTTTACTCTATTATTCACTCTCCTACAGTAAGTGCAACACAAAAGGACGTTTTGACAGAATGTGTTCAAATAGTATATCACCATAAAACACCCATTTGAAGCTCTTTTAGAGCTTAACCGGTTTATCCCTAATTTACTTTCACTATATTAAAAAAGAGCTGCGTCGACATTTTGCTAAAATTCTTACTGAAGAAAAATGGTTTGAACTACTGTACATGAGGATGACTAAATGATGAGTAAAGAATTGAATCCTACAAATTCATCTAGAAGCAGAGTAATTATCGTTAACTAAAACAATTTTTGTTCATTAAAATAAAGCTGAAATGAAATATAAATATTAGATAAAAAATAAATAAAATTTGAGAAATGTTGTCTTGTCAAACTGAAGTACTAAATTTACTAAAATAACTGGAAATACATAAAAACTAAAACTGAAATAAATAAAAAAATTAATAAGCTAAAGCTAATAAAAATTACAAAAGCATTTAACAAAATTGCTAAAAATGTAAATGAATTAAACACAAAATATTAATACAAATAATTAGTGCTGTCAAATGATTAATCGCGATTAATCGCATCCAAAATAAAAGTTTTTGTTTACATAACATATATGTGTACTGTTTATATTTATTATGCATATATAAGTACACACACATGCATGTATATATTTAAGAAAAAAGTGTTATGTTTCTATATTAAAAATATTTATATATAATATAAATATATACATGTAAATATTTTCAAAAATATGAATGTGTGTGTATTTATATATACATAATAAATATACACAGTACACACATATATATTATGTAAACAAAAACTTTTATTTTGGATGCGATTAATCGCGATTAATCATTTCACAGCACTGATATAAATGATACTAAAATAACACTGCAGGCTAAAGGGCCCAATTTACTTAAGCGAAATCCAAGAACAAAAATGGATGTGAGGGAATTTAAACAAATCTGGTTGAAAAAGAAAATCGGTTGCAGTGGTTTGAAACAGCTTGCAGGCGCAAACTTTCCAGAAAACTTCACGGCAGTGGCGGGCACCTTCAAACTGCCAATGAACGTTTGACCTGAGGCTCCACCTTCATTGACATGGAAATCTTTTCAGGTTCTTGTTTTCACTCAGTAAGTCGAGATCAGACACCAAACATCAGATGTGTGCAAACAGTAAACCGTTGGCAACTATTTCGAATTTCTGTTTGCCTCTGAGCGAAGAACGCAGAAGAACTTTGCCATTAGTACTATATGTAAGGGCCTTAATTCACCAAGAGCTCCTTTAAGAATCTCCTACAAGATTGAATAATAGTGTTATAAAATCCAGACATTATTTGAAGAGGCTTTCACGTTCTACTACACTTTCCATTTTTTCCACCATGTGACCCATTCTGTCTCATCTTCCATTAAACCTGCCAAAACCAAAACCCCAGCTTGAAAGCCCCAATCTCCTCTCGCTGCGGTTGCGGCTGGGAATCTGCACCAAAGAAAATGCGGTTTAAAAAAAGCAGAAATGTCCTGAAGGTGAAGAGCACATTCCCGGCCTGCCGATAATTTTTCACCCCGGGCCAGTCGGGCCTTCACTTGCCAGTCTAGCGAGCCCATTATTAAGAGGCAGATCAAGGCCGAGGGCGGTCACTGCTATATGTTTGAAGTGGGGTTGGGGAATGTGGAATCAGCCTGAGAAAACAGCTTCCATGGTCTGAAGGCACCACAGGAACTCTGATGTCACCGTCTAGAGAGCCTTCCCTACTCAGAAGACAACAGCCATCTGAGAAAAAGCGAGGGACTATCAAGTGACTGATCTAGCCTGAAGAAGGGGTTTTACAGTCCGTGTTCTTCTGACACCGACTATTAAGTCATTGAGATAATTGGGGTTATCATGTTATCTGGTGTGTACATCAATATGTCCGTCACTTAGGACTGGAAAAATGGCTGTGTGGCGAACTCTAAAGAGTGTACGTTCACATGAACGGTTATTTCGATAGTAACAGTTCATCAATTAACAGCTAGTTAGCAACTACCTAGAACAACCTGCGCTAGCAACGACTTCATGTGAAGCGTACGGTGTAACAGTCTGGTCTTGGAAGTGAAGCCTCATTCACTTTCTCTATAGGGAAACTGATTTTTAACACCAACTTATAGACCTACACTCTTAAAAAGAAAGGTGCTTCAAAAGGTTCTTCAAGCGATGCCATAGAAGAACCATTTTTGGTTCCACAAAGAACCATTCAGTCAAAGGTTCTTTAAAGAACTATCTCTTTCTTACCTTTTTGTAATCTGAAGAACCTTCTTTCGCCACGTAGAACCTTTTGTGAAACAGAAGGGTTCTTCAGATGTTAAAGGTACTTTATGGAACCATTTAGACAAAAAGGTTCTTCTATGGCATCGTGAAGCACCTTTATTTTTAAGAGTGTACTGTGAGCTATGAGGCTGTTCATCGATGGTATATGCTTTTGTTTGAAGCAGGTCTGCATAATTTTCACTTAAACATGTTTAACATTGAAATTTCTGGTGAAAAACTAAATTTCTCTTGATTCTGCAAAAAAAGCAAAAAACAATCTGTAACACTTTAGTATAGGGACCAATTCTCACTATTAAATAGTTGCTTATTAGCATGCCTATTATTAACATATTGGCTGTTTATTAGTACTGACAAGGCACATATTCTGTATGACCTTATTCTACATCCCTATCCTACCCAATAACTAAACTTAACAACTAATTTACTAACTAATAATAAGCAGCAAATTAGAGGAGTTTATTGAGGCAAAAGTCGTAGTTAATGGTTTGTTAATAGCGAGGACCTTAACTGGACCTTAAAATAAAGTGCGACCAAAAAATTAAAAAAACAAGCAAACTATTTATCGACCACCCACTCTCATGGACTGCGAATGACGAGTCCCTACACGCTCAAAACACTGAAATATATATACGGTATGTCATTTGCAATGCTTTCATGTGACTATAGTTCTTTCCCTTATTGAAACTGTAAAGTACACACCTTTTTGTCTTATTTTCAAATACTATTTTGTTTCAAATCAATGTTTGCAGTGTTGTGATTCACACTGTGTCTGGTTGGTTTGGTTCTTGGCTTCTCTCTATGAGAAAAATTAATGGGATAAATACTTCCAGGACCATGGCGGATGAAAAACTAGACAGCCACTGTTACACTTTGTTGATGTTAGTAGAGGTTGATGTTTGCATGTTGCTAAGCTAACAGCTCAAATGTCAAAAATACATAGTACATACATTTTTGGGAAATCACTCATAAAACTTTCCCAAAGGATTTGTGGCATAGTCTACGATGGCATAGAATAACCGTTTTGGGTTCTCGACAGTACCTTTCAGTAAACAGTTCTTAAGAGAGTTCTTTTTTTTTAGTGTGAAGAACATTTTAACAGTCTAAAAAATATTTTGTGGAATGGAAAGGTTCCATGGATGCTGAGGGTTCTTCATGGAACAATAAATGCCAATAAACAACCTTTATTTATTTAAGTCTTGCATATGTTACTTTTAAAAGTAATGCATTAAAATATATTGCATTGCCCAAAAAAGTAACTAAGTATGTTACTTAGTTACTCTTTATGGAAAAAATGCACTGCATTACTTTTTCATTACTTTTTGTCACCTGGGCTGGGCTTGCTTAATAACAAAAAAAAAATGTTGAATAAGCCTCAGTGCCTCTGCCTCTTCACTTCACTCCAGATTTCTCTTCTATCAGTAAATGAATGGGAAAACAAAGTAACTCAGATATTTCGTAGTAAATTTATTAGTGCTGTCAAATGATTAATCGTGATTAATCGCATCCAAAATATAAGTTTTTGTTTACATGATATGTGTGTGTACTATGTCTATTTATTATGTAAATATAAATACACGCACATGCATGTATATATTTAAGAAAAATATGTTATGTTTATATATTAAATATATTTATAATATAATATAAATTATATGAATATAAATATATACATGTAGTGCTGTCAAACGTTTAATCGCGATTAATCACATCTAAAACTAAAGTTTTTGTGTACGTAATATATGTGTGTGTACTGTGTATATTTATTATGTATATATAAATACACACTCATACAGTATATATTTTGAAAATATTTAGTATTTACATGTACATATTTATATTTACATAATTTATATTATATATATATAAATGTATTTAATATACAAATATAACATTGTTCTTAAATATATATGTGCATGTGTGTGTATTTATATATATGCATAATAAATATACACAGTGCACACACATATATCATGCAAACAAAAACTTTTATTTTAGATGTGATTAATCACGATTAATCGTTTGACAGCACTAGTAAATACATGTACATATTTTCAAAATAGATGCTGTATGTGTGTAATGTATTTATTTATACATAATAAATATACACAGTACACACACATATCATGTAAACAAAAACTTTTATTTTGGATGCGATTAATCGCGATTAATCGTTTGACAGCACTAGTAAATACATGTACATATTTTCAAAATAGATGCTGTATGTGTGTAATGTATTTATTTATACATAATAAATATACATATTACACACACATATCATGTAAACAAAAACTTTTATTTTGGATACGATTAATCGCGATTAATCTTTTGACAGCACTAAAATGTATATAACAAATAAAATAATGCGTTACTTTACTAGTTACTTGAAAAAAGTAATCAGATTAGGTAACTCATATTACTTGTAATACGTTACCTCCAACACTGCTGGCAAGTATCCAGAACCATTCTAAAACCAGCAAAGCAGACCAGCTTGCCCAGCTTGGATAGACTTGCAACTTCATGGCTTGGCATCTCTCACTGGTATTGTAGTGACAGGTTTTGCACAGGCTTCAAAGACTTCAAAAGCAAAAATCTAGTTTAATGTAAAAGAGTTTTGCATTGTTTTCGTTCAATACCAGCAATCTGTAA